TTCAAACCTCCTACAATTGTGTCAAATTATCCGGCAATTAACATGTGACAAGAAGTTAATATATCGGCATTTTTCCAAGCCTATTTGGTGGGTTAAATGTGAGGCAAGTCTTGTCTGTCTTGGGTATGAATCACATTTCAAGGACACGTGGTTGTCAGCACTAGTCAAAAGGTCCTCATGCATCTTGTGCTGAAAGTCGAAAGCCACGTTGATGGCTGAAGTTCTCTCAGCAATATCGGAGTCAAGGCTGCCTATAATAGATTGCAATACTGAATCCAGGGTCATCACCTCAGGATTTGTTACTCAATTATGCATGTGAAAGGATCCACAAATTTGCAGTGGTCATGTCAATCAAGGACATCGATCGACGGTACGTAGAGAACTTGAAGAAAATTTAGAGAAGGTTCTACAGATCATGCATGCTACCGCAATAGATGATGTAAAAGTAAATGGGTGAATGTGATTGTAAATCATGACGTGTCATTCTTTTGGTTTCAAACAATTTCGAGTCAAAAAATTTGTCGCCACTCATCAAATCCCAATTTAAATTCAAGTTTAATTAACTTTCCTGAACTCTAGTGTGGTATGATAGCATTTTTTTTCCAGTCCAAAATCGCCACGTCTGAAATTGGTATCTTTTGATAGATACGAGAACCAAACCTGGTACTTGATTCCCTTGTCCTGTCTAACGAAACTTATCTCTGTGGTCGGTTCCTCCATGAGTATCAATGTTTGGCAGGACAAGAGGGAGATAATCGTTTCTATAAGCAAGTGAAACTAAAGCCTTCCAAAGAATCCAAACTCGCGCTTACCCGAAAATTGAAGCTTAATTAAGTGTGCTACCATTACTTAATTCAGGGCTTGATCAACCTCGTACGTTGTCTAACCCTCAGTTCAAATGATACAAATTTTAAGTTTTTCTCAACAACCATGATCGCAGATTCCTCTAACTCCACAACAAATCCAAGACTGATGTTTGAGTTTTGACCAGGTACTCATGATCGCTGTGGGGGACGGATAAACAGGTTAGACATCAATTACCTTTTCTTCAGGATGTGATATATATATCAGCGTGGGAGTTGTATCCTTCCCCTAACCCAGAAAAGGACAAACAGATACAGACACCAGCATGCTACTTACATGATTGAACCAACATGATTTTTTGGTTAGGACGATAAAGGGGGAGGGTGACTGAAAGTACATGTGAAATTGCAAAACGCAGTACCAAGAAAATCAATCAAGGCTCGTTACTAACATGCTCAAATTTGATCACAGATGTTAATCTGACCATATTTTACAGGTATGTATGCTTCGACACCACCAAGAAAGTGGCCTTTGCGGTTCACTGAATGTACTGATATTCACTAAATGTGTGGTTGTAGTCCAAGCAGGTGAAACATCGGAACTTTGCTGTTTGCACATGCGAATAACATTTTCTCATTGCAACATTAGAGAATTATTCATCACAAAATTAAATGATAGTGAAAGAGGTACAATCCAAATGCTACTCCTCTTGCTATACGGTAGAAAAACCAAAATGAATATTAACGACAATTAATGGTTAGGCTCATTGACATTTAAACCAACCGTTATTAATTGTATCTGGCTGAGAAAATATTGGGACCACGAAGTGTTTTGAATAATGATATCTCTGCCAAAAAAGCACCCACCCTTTTTTTTTGTTTTTTTTATTAATGTCAAAAGGTGTTCAACAGCTCGCCCTTTAGATAACACGCACCAGTCGGCAAGAAAATGACATTTCCCAATTCCCATGGGTGAAAAAGTTAATCTACTATTCTTGTTTCTGATTCACGCCTTGGCTTAAGCTGTTGTCATGGTAGCTTCTTCATCATGGGAAATCGTTGTCCGCCCTTAAGCTTAATTTTGATTACAAAAGAAGTGGGTTATGTCAAGAGATTCGCCGACGATGTTGAAACAAAAAGGGTGCAGAAGTGCAAAAATTCAAAGAAGAATTTCAAGAGTAGAAGCATGGGGAAGTGTGCTGTTGATTATAGTTGGGTTGTTGTGTGTCACTTCATCGGAAGAGAGCGAAACCTTATCAGGTTAGCAATGTGAAACATTGATTTTTGGCACTTGGATTGAACTCACCTGTACTCCACAAAGATGCATTCACATTTTGTCATTAGCTGAAATGCTGAAATCACATAATCATTTAGGTGATTGGAAGCACTCAAAAGAGATGCCATCATGCCATTCGTAATCTTCCAACAACGGGTGGTGATAAGAATATTTAAGCAATATCGATGCGTTTGCATACATTATTTTAAATCACAATCGGCTGATGCAAAAGGCAGGCCTGGTGTGAAACATTGAAACCGAATTATTGATGTAGTGTCAGGGTTGCTTAATTTAACAGGCAATCTTTTGGTGGTTTCTTATCACGACATATCTGTTGTTGTCTCATTGCCGTCTAACCAGTAATGGAAACCCGAGGGACTCAAGTATCGCACAAAAGGCCGCAGAAATTTGGAGGAAGTCCAGCAAACCTGGAGCTAGTCAAAGAGGAAGCCAGAGCTTACGAATTTATGTTAGACAGAGCAAAATCGTCAAAGCCCACAAATCTTTTTAGCATGATAAGTTCATCCAACCCAATTAAGCCTAATATTTAGCTTATTGACTTAGGCTTGTTGGTTCACCCTTCATTTAGACATTGGGCTTGTGTTCTCTTCAGAGTCCCAAAGGATTTTGCAATTTCTAACACTTGGTTCTCATCATATGTAGTATAATAAGCATCCAGAGAATGAATTACTTATGGTACAAAATACGGATGTTACAGATCAATTTAATCAAAACTGTATTCGGTCGGCGATTGCCTAGCCAGGGTACAAAGAAAACGGGTGAGGGACTTTTTGGCACTCGTTACCGCTGCTTCTATTTTTGCCTTGTCTTCCTCCGTCACAGCTTGGCTTTGTTCTTGAATCGTTTGCACTCTTCGAACAAGTTTACGCAATTCCTGTCAAAGTTGCAGCAACTTGATAAAATGAACAAAAAAGCAAAAGCAAAAACTGCACAATAATTACACAATCATGTGATACAATGCAAAGAGGAATATAAGCTGTTCATGTAGGCCAATTAAACGATTTATAGTTAAAAGAATGTAGATGAATTGGATTATGCCCAACTGACTCCAAGTGCACATACTGATCAAAACAGTGGTCTCATAGGGAGGTTTCTTTAAAAGTTGGGTTTTGATGGCCTTTTTCCTTGCTTCTTTGTCTTTCAAAGAAAAACCTATATCATCTAAGTGACTAACTATTAACCAATACATTCTTCACTTAAAAGAACTTTTGGCAATGACTGAGAAATAGTATTTAACTTGAAATCAAATGGACAACATGACATTTTGCTTACCTGACGATCAAAATCAATGCTGTTAACTGAATATACTTCATTTGTAATGTTAATGTCTTTACTGATCAACCCATCAAACCATCTATTTGCAACGTTGACATACTCCTGCGAACTCTGCAAATAAAACCTCAACAAGATAATATTACATGTAATCAGCTTAAGCTCATTATAAGTCTTCAAATCACAAGGTGTAATTCAAACTTCAATTACGATTTCTTCAAATTTGGTTTGCTACACTGACCCCGTATTGAATTTCTTCGAATTGATCATCACTGTCTTCTTCTTCTTCTTCTTCTTCTTCTTCTTCTTCTTCCAGGATTTGCATCTTTGAACCTGCTAAAGCCCGAATGGTTTTCTGATCACCTACTTTTGTAGCCTGAATCAAAGCATCCATCAATTCAGGTTCTGCTTCCCGCAGCAGTTTCCCTAGCACACATTCATTCCGGGTATAAAAGATAGGGTCACAAAATATAAGCATAAAGCACTCACCACCTAAACATAAGGAAATTACTATTGGAAAAGAAAATTAAAGGAATGAAAATCAATCTGGGCAAATCTACTTTCTTACCAATATAATTGAACTGCCTTCGCTTTCCCTCTCTAACATCAGGGCCGAGTCTCTGCAACCAAAAAACAAACATCTTGTCTTCAACAACATGCGTTCCAACGACAAACAGAGAAACAACTCAACAAAGTATAAAGCTTTCACTTTCCCAAAGTACCTTAACTAACATTAAAGCATCGAACACATCTTGTTCAAGAGAAGCAACTCTGAACATCCCCAGCAACAATGAAAATAAAAATGTTTAGCTTCAATATATATACCATTTCAAAAGTTTAAACATCGTTGCGTAATAAAAACATGGTTTTGTGTCGCTACTGTACTTGAGGATGCGTTTAATCTGAGGAGTAGAGAAGGAAGCGAGGTCCACGCCCCAACAGACGGCGCGTCGAGCCTCGCGCTTCTTCTGGTTACGGCTCTTCTTTACATCTGAATCCGAGTGGCTGGTTTCACCGTCTTGGAGATCAGATGGAGCTGGAGCATTGGGTAATCTGACTCCCCGTGGGCGGTGACGGCCGTTTCCGCGGAAGGAAGTCGAAGTGGCGAAAGAGAAACATGTGGCGGTGGTTTTAGCAGATACTGTGAGCGGTAAGGGAGTGTAGAGGAAATGATCGAGTCTTGTCCGTGAGCAGCAGTAGTGATGGTGCTGCTGCAACTGCGGCCATTGCCTCAGAGGCCGTATTAGCCGTGCCATGCTCTGCTCGACCAACGTTCTGCTTTGAGACTCACCAGCTCCCGCAAGTAGTAGCCAGCGTTTTGAACGCTCGAAGCCTTTCGAAGCAGAAGCCGCCTGATGGTAAATCTTTGCGTTTTTGACACGTGTAGCTACTATTATCATTTTTCACAGATTTAAAAAATAATAAAAGGAAAAAAAATCTCGGTTTATTTGCTCTTGGCCCAAACTTGATTATGGCGTAGCGGTCGATCGTATGTTATTTGGTGGTTGGTGTTAGAAGCTGGGTTTGAGCTTGAAACTGAATGTAAGAGGAATTAGCCTGAATCCAACAACAACAATTGCTAAACTAAAGAATGAACCTTAACATTGCCTTTCCATCAGGTAATTTGATTGAATGTGAGAAGAATGAGCTTCTCGTCACTTCAGATGATGACCAGAAAGTGTAGACTAAGTAACACAAATGATTAGAAAATGCAAAATTACAAGATACAGTTGAAAGGAGTTATCTCCTTCAAATTTGCACTATACAACCTGTCTTGAGGAAAGAATACATGAGTTGGGCTAAGAATTCAACGTCTATATCAAATATATGGTGCGAAGTAGTGCAGGAGCAGAGGAAGTGTTGACAGAATGGCAAAATCCTCTGTAGAAATATAATGCAGCCAAGATCAGTAGACCTCAACGTTCCATTGTTCTGCTTTCTTTAGTTGTCTCATGTATTCAAGCCAATCAATACCTGGAAGAAGTAAAAGTTAGAGAAAATTAAATCATATTTATAAGATGCTAAAGTCAAAAATCTGCCTATGATACTTTAACTTACCATCTTTGGCAGCCAAAGAAGTCATGATTTCATCAATTCCCTTCTCCATACCCTTGAGCCCGCACATGTAGACATAGGTGTTATCTTTCTTGAGCAATTCCCATAGCTTTTCAGCATACTGGGCCATCCCGGTCTGAATATACATCTTCTCACCCTTGTCATTCGTTGATCTCTACTCACCGCGTAATCCACCCTGAAGTTATCTGGTGTCTTCTCCTTCATCTTCTCAAATTCCTGAGTTGAAACCATAAGTGAAACAGATAAAAGTTCTGATCCAATATATTCCAGTCTGAAGAGAAGTGAATAAAGATGAATAATGTAGAGGTTAAAGATAGCTTACGTCCTTGTAGAGCAGTGAGCTACTTGTGGGTACACCCAAGAAGAGCCAAGCCAACCCATTAAACTGCATCTCATGCCAAAAAAGGTCACGTACGTAACCATAACTTGTTATTTGCTTCGTAAGCGTTAGATATCACAATTACCTTGTAGTCATCATGCTTCTCAAAGAACACCTTCCATAAGAATGAACGGAAAGGAGCAATTCCAATTCCAGTTGCAAACTGAAACAAGGAAGCCAAGCACAATTATGTTAATACATGCTCAAATAAACAAACTGGTAACTATGTTAACCCAAAAAGTCTTTATCGACATGATAATCTGGAACGAGCTAATAACAAAAACATACCATTATGATGGTGGCATTTGGATCTTTTGGCATAAGCATCTCTTTCCCAACAGGTCCAGTGATCGTCACATCAGCACCAGGCTCCAAGTCACCTGAATGAAAGAGATTGTGTTATCATAGAGCCAACAAATTTTCCCAGACTCCATAAGCTTTAATAACAAAAGTATCAACATGACATTTGGATAAAGATTACAATGATTTGTCATGTCTTCAACCGAATCAACAGGTGACTTCTCATATTTACAAGGGAGAAAACATTTCAAGTGTTCTTGGTCGCCAGTTTTGGCACCTAAGGCAAAGGGCATCAACCTTGCCAGCTGTTGTGAATCAATCTAACATATGAAGTTATGAAAAAACAAAAAAAAACTGGGGAGATTTATCCTCCAATATGTTTACAATAACGGTTTACGATCCATTTATAGGACCTAGAAGCTGTTACTATGGATAGACTTGAAAGCAAGATGCTTATTTATGTTTCTGCAGTAACTTGCTGCCCATTCTTATCACTTGATAAATGACATCTCCGTCCACATTAGAAATGATTATATGTAGAGATCATAAAACTTTTTATAATGCTAACAAACAAAAAAAATCACATAGCTATGTATTTTGAACAGAGCTGGTAACTGCCAAGCCAACCTGCTGCAGAGTAAACGTATGCAATCTCAAGAAATTAATAATAACTGTCATTAAGACATGATCAGATTTGAGACTTCTGTCCTAGATGGTCTCTAGTATATTTTATTCAAGATATCAATCTTATATATGCTACAAGCATGATCAAAGAGGAGGTTTATTAGAATCATTACCCAGATGTACTTTCAGCAATGCTATTCAGAAATACTAAATAAAAAGAATAGGAAATTTTAAAACTCCTACACAGGAAATTTGAGCAAACTCCTTTGACTATCTCTCCTTGTTCGTTGGTGTAAACAAGACTTTTGACACACAAGGAAACCTGCAATTACAAGCTCATCAGTATCAGACTAATTTTGGTGTTCAGAAGTTACCTTCCAATGCAAGGATTCTTTGGCTCGAACTTGTTAACAACAACACCTTCGTCAGCTTTCTTGGAAACTTTTGCTACTTTTGCTGGAGACTCCGTAGTGATCTGAGCTTCAACGGAAACCACATTTCCACCAGCGCTGACATTCTTGGAGTACCATACACTCTGCAGAAGAACCCATTAGACATAAGTATCAGAATAATCATTCAATGCAAATCTGCTTTCTCCATTAAGGAATCATACCTTGTTGAAGTTGATTCTTTCAGGGGTAGTGATAGAGCTTTTAAATGAAAGAGAAGATGACTTGGAAGATGGGAGAGATACTGCAGCATTGACGGTCACTGCCATTGTTTCTCTCACACAAAAATGAATCACAGAGGCCTCTAAGCAGAATTGAGGCCTTGAAGTGGAGGACGAATTGACGTCAAGTTGAACCAACAAGAGAAAGAACACGACAAAAAGAGGTGAAAAAGAGGGATGAAGAGACAAAACCTGGGAGAGGATTACGTATTGGGTGGACGAGGGAGGTGGACAAATTCAGTGGGAGATACACTTTTGTGTTTAAGAGTGGCCTTGACCGCTCGTCAAAACTCCAAAAATGTTGATTCGAATAACGAACCGCTCAATTTTAAAGCCCACAATAACTTTTAGGCCGGATATTCATTGTAGGATCTGCTGGTAATAGACACCCAAATGAGGCCTGCATGATGAAACGGTTTATTTTTATGAAGTAAATAAATCAAATTTTAGTTTTTCTGTCCTAAGTAAGGTGGGTTGGATTGATGATATTTCAATTGGTATTAAATTTTTAGTTATTTAATTAATTGTTGTAAATTTTGTTTTCTTATATATTTTTAAAAGGAAAAAAATTAGTAAAAATAATAAGCAAATGTAACCTAAGTTTTAGAAGGTTTAGTTACAAATATTATTTTTAATCTATTTTTTGTATATGATTTTAAAATATTTTAAAATAATATTTTTTTGAAATATCATTTAAAAATTTAAAAATTTCATTCAATACATTATTTTATCTAATTTAAGAAAAAATAATACTTTAATTAGTTTTTTTAAAATATCACTTTAACGTGTAATTAAGCAATCATTAATATTTTCATTTTATATAATAAATAAAAGTGTTAGGTGTACGAAAACATGGCGCTAAAAGTGCAATCTTCCTTGGTAGACTCTTTCTTTTAGTTTTGACCTTTCCAATGTCGCTTTAAGCCAAGGTGAAGTGAAGAATTATGTTTTGGAATAAGATAGGGTAAATTACATTGATACTTTTAACTTTTAATTATAATTACATGTGAGATTTATTAATTTTTTAAAATAAATAATTTACAACAAATATATTTTTGTGGCATACAAGTTTCATTAGTCAATCGTTAATATTTTCGTTAATTTGATGATGTGGTAATTTTTTAAAATAATTTTATTTTTATTAATTTTAAAAATTACTATTAGATAAATAATATTTTTTATTTTTAAAATTTTTATCTCTTCAAAAAGAAAAAAAGGGCTCTTAACCCGACCACCCCGCAACCGGCAGGGGAGCACCAGATTTGGTGCTTAACTCACATTGGGAATTTTCTACCCATTTGCAAAAGAATGATTAACTCACATGCCAAAAGTGTGAATGATGCAAAATGAAATTTAAAAATCGTATTTGATTTTTTTTTTTGCAGTTATAATGATCATCTTATTTTAATCAAATATTTTTTATTATTGATGTTTAAAATAATTATTTGAGTTAATAATGTGTTGGAGTAAAAAATTAATATTATCTCAATGTTTTGGTGATATCATAATTTAATTCCTCACCTAAAATCAATTTGGAAATTCCTCTCTTCATATTTCGTATCGAATTAATACAAATAAAATATCTTTTGACTATTTTTTATTAGTAATCACTATAACTTAGTACCATTTCATTCCATTACATATATATATTAACCTAAATTTATAACAAGAAATTAATCCTTATATATATATTTTTGAACTTTAATAGACTATAGTTTTTGTACATATATATTCTACATTGCATATTTATAAACCTATATATTTTCTCATATACCAACCTATTTTATTTTATTTTTAAAATAAATTTATTCTCACATTGCATTACATATTAATTAAAATTGCCTCCAATGCCAACAAAATAAATAGAAATATCCTGCAAATAACCAAACTAAAGGCCAACAACAAAATAAGATGGCCCAATGAAGATCAACTAAGGTCCAGAGTCGCCGGACATCAAAGGAAACACGTGGGCTAGGTTTAACCCAGTTCAGCTGCACCTCTTTCAACCCAAACTTTACAGTTTATGCTTGTTAATGCCTTTTTCCGTTAACCAAAAACGTCGTGGTTTGAAGTGGTGCCCCCTGTCAAAACGTTGCTTACTTTTCGCGCCCTAATTTTTTGGTAGTGTAGGTGTCTTCCCTTAGGCAGTTAGGCTATTTTTTTGAGTCTCTGAGTGCCGTCCTTCACCGCTCCTCTCTCGGCTTTTAGCCAAAGGTAGAGAAGCGCGATTGCTTTCCCAGGCTGTCTCTGTCATTGGCAGCGGACGGGGGGCTTGTCATGTATTGCAACTCGTGACTCAGTATTGTGTCATGATATTTTTTTATGTTTGGACGGGCTCCGCGCATGCAGTGTCCTTCAGCTGCTGCAATCACTAGTTTCTCTTAAAGCTAGCTTCTTATGCCATCCAGTTTTGGATGTTAGACTTGTTATGATATTTTAGCTTTTGATTCAATAAAATTCACCTTCAAAAAAGAAAATTGAAGACAAATCGTGAATAAACCAACTCTTTAATGGTACCTAAATATTTCAAAAAAGAAAAACTGACAACAATCATAAAAATAAAAAACATACAAACAACTAGGATTGGATAATTAGTATGTATATTTATATCAAATTTAAAACAAGAATCTAAATCTGAAGTACAAAGAGAGATAAAACTTAACAAACTATGAGGCAAGACTAAATAGAAAGATTGGACAATGCTAAATAGAAGGATCGTATAAAGAAAGATGAAACCAAAAAAGGTATTACAATGAAAGTATATACCTCGGCAAGGTTTGAAGGGGGCAACTCGTCCTTGAGACTCATCGCTCACTACTATCAAGAAATCGGCTTATGGCGGTTGAAACTAAAGGTGTTGGTGGTGAAGAAAA